TGGATCATCTGCTTATTCACTCTTTTTCTTGAACTTTGACATTTATTCTTTTTCCTCTTAGGGATTTGTCATCCTACTTTTATCCACTCTCTTCCTATTATTAGAAGATTTCTTTCTCAATCTCATGAGGAAGATAAAGACAAAGAGCTCACATTTTTCATATTCATCATATTACTTTGTCATTCTAGTAGATGCCACTGTAAGTAGCCCAACTAAAAGTTGAAGTATATTTTCAAAACAACCTATTTTGTGCCATTCTTTTTAACAAACTATTTGAACATATAAACAAGCCTTAAAAAATCTTAGCTCATGTTTTAACCATGGCCAGAAAGATTATGTAAATCTACTTATGAAACACTAGGTGCCACTGAAATGTTCCATTTATTCTTATTCATGCCCTGATGCAAATGAATCACCTGTCTTCAGATATCAAAATAGTGACATGATTCATAGCTCGTAACATGTTTAAGTATGACTTGTCGATTGCATGACTAATGAGAATAATAGATGAAGAAATAAAAGATTCAAACAAAACAGACATAGAGTGAATAATTACAAACCTATATGCTCAACCACTGAAGAAAAACAGGCCCAACAAGAATCTTGTAATCGGAAAAAGCCAAATCTGTTCCACTGGATCTCAGTTAGCGCAATGACAGCAACTAAGAGTTGTATAATCAGGAGATATACAACCAGTGGAGATCTCCAGGATTGAAGTCTGCAAAACCATGTCAATTCTTGTACTTTGAGAGAGGATGTATAATAAAATTGAAAAGCAGAGAAGAGAAATGAAGTCAAACAATGCAACACATGTAGCCTGTGCACAAGAAAATCAAATTCATATTACTTCATCAATCCAATGAGCTTCATCCACCAGGCATCTGCAACCGTCCATTCCGAACCCATAATTGCCGATATAACAAGAAAGGTCACTTGTGAAAATATCACAATAAGAGAAAATAAAAAAATGCACCATAGCAACGAATTTCTGCATCTGAAGCGAAATCCTAAAGAATGAAGGAAAAAGTTGTGTTAGAACAGTTGGGAGAAGACAATGCAACATAGAGTTATTACCTTTGTAACATAGAGTTTTATACATATATATATATATATATTTCTCTCTCTCTCCTATATAGATATTTATCTCCCCCCTCCGTCCCTCCCTCCCTCTTGGTCCTAGAGACTAATGTTTAACAAATCACTACAGAGAAGAGGTCCACACTGATAAGCCAAGAAAGGGATAAGCAACTACCTCTTTTTCGGGCCACAAATCGAATTACAAGAGAAGCCACCAAATTAATGAAAGAAATCAAACTCCAATTTAGTAGACCAGCTGCAAGGAAGCAGAGAAGTAAGTGCAGGGACAGAAAGTAAAATACTAATAAGTGCTTATAGAAAGATGTCGATATTGCTGATTGTGTAAGAAACAAAAGCATGACGAACAATGATAGTAGTACAATATAAGAAGCACCTACATTTACAAAGTTTCTATTCACAACCAACAAATATTTCATCCTACACGTCCAAAGAGTTACAGTAGAGACGGGAACACCAAATAAAGTTGAGTCTCACTACTTAGCACAAGAAAAAGAGGAGGCATGGTTACAAAAATTCAAGATAGGACTTGTCAACTACACTAAACATGTTTCATAATGATTTCCATCATAAGGAAAGTGCTTCTGTCTATTCTCATGATAGACAAAACCCTGCAACAGAATATTTATCCACAATTCCGGCTACCCATTTCCAATCCCGGGATCAAATACATGTTTACAATCGAGATCATATGCCCCCTTAAGATCCACAAAAATAATTACAACTCTAATAAATGCTAAAATATTTGCCCAAAGACATATTCAAACACCTGGATCATTTGTATCATCTTTGACGTGTAAAATTCGATCAACAAGAAACGCCTTTGTCGGGGAAGAATAATGGGAATACAAAATGACCCACGTACCTATCAAAAGCAGCAAAGGCAGCACAAAATCGCCAAGAAAACTTTCCATGATAGGCCCTTTCTTCAATTCAATCCCATTACAAATCAATGGGGCTAATCCAGGAACTGGTTTGAATCACCCTGATCCAACGCGAAAATCCCAGTTACTGAAACCCATTAGTTTTCGTTTAAAGAGCTCAAGATGGAAGGTTGGTACACAGAGACAAAATCAGAAAACCCCGACGAGTCCTTACTCGTTAAAGAGGGGCTTTCTTTCTGATAATTCTTACTCTGTTATCTGTTGTTGCATAGGCGTAGCTGTAAAATTCTACTACTTTGGAAAGGATGGGGAGTGAAATCACAAATGTATGATCTGAATATAAAAAGTCCCACTACAGTTCTACTAAATAATCTCAAACTAGATTGCTAAGTACCAGCGATACTCATCCGACAAATGGTGGGTGTGCTCTTATGGTCGTATGATTCCGATGACAAAGACGATGCGCCCAGTTGCATATTCGGGTAATTTCACGTTAACCCCTTACATTTTGTTTAAATATATCTGACTGCCTTGTGGGTTTTGACAATCGACAGATTTACCTCATCTAACTTTATGTTGGGAAAATAAAATCAAAGGTTGAACATTTTCTAATTTAACTCATGTTTTATAATCATATTTTTTATTCTTATTACTGATGATATTGCATGATTGGTTTGGAATTTGTTATAAGGCTTGCGTGTGAAAGGAAGGAAAAAAAAAACTACCTTTTATTGGTGCGTTCTTTACCAATTCAACTTTCGTAAATTCTCCACTGAAAGGGATAAAAAAAAGGGTTAATATCAGAAACCTCCCCTGAGATTTCTTCTAATCACATCTAGCACCCCCCATGTTTTTGAAATCACACTTAGCACCTCTGGCAGTAGAATGTGACAGGTTGTCCTAATCAAAAGGTGAGAAATTACCCAAAAACCACCAACATCAGGCAAATTTTTAAGCGGGAAAATGCTGAAAAACCAATGCTGCTGTAAACAAGCAAGGTATAATTCCCTTTGTACCAAATGCTCAATCTACTCTAAATGGTGGATCTCAAGCCGAAACTTTTGTTAGCATTAATACTGCTGCAATAGTGGCCTCTAACACTATTACCAGCAGTTTCTTTATGATGTTTTGAGAGTGCTAAAGGTTCCCCACAATCCTTGCTTTTGGTATCTGAAGTAGTTTAGGTACTAGTCTTCTTAGCTCCCAGCAATACTGAAGCAATGTTAGCTTTTGTGGACAATTTTTTGATAAGTGGTGCAATGTGCATCTAATTTATATTTCCTGTCACTTATGGTGTTGTTTGACTAATCTTAGAACTACTTGTGTATAGTTTTGTGCATTGCAATTCTCACCATCTAAACAACTAGTTGTAGATGGTGTTTTTGTTCAGAATTGGATTGCAATATAAGGCTTACGTATCATGTTACCAGACCGATCCAATGTAGTATCATGGACTATGTAATTAGTGGAGAAGGGGTAGGGACGGTTATTGCTGTTAAAGGTAGTATAATTACTCGCTGTTGTTTTAGTGTTACAACGTGTACAAATGATGTTACACCGTGTGGGACGGTTACTGCTGTTAAAGGTAGTATAATTACTCGCTGTTGTTCTAGTGTTACAACGTGTACAAATGATGTTACACCGTGTGCAAAATGCACACAAGCTTCCGGAGTGCAACCGTTCCGGCCCCAGTCCATAATTAGTTATGCATCTCTATATCGCCAAAATCTCTGATAATTAGTTATAACATTCTTTTTATTACACTTTTACACCCTCAGCTTCTAAATTAATATCATATGCCTATTTATTTCTATTTTTATCTTCTAAAATTCACTAATCATTTTGGGCTTTGGGTAAAAGTGGAACAAAAATAAAGTATCTCTCCTACAATTCATTTTTTACTACCATTTTCAAATAGAGGGGCTGACAAGATACCAAAGTTGTCATTTCAGGGGTATTAAGTGTGATTTCAAAAACATGGGGGGTGCTAGATGTGATTAGAAGAAACCTCAAGGGAGGTTTATGATATTAACCCTAAAAAAAATCCCAGTGTATTAAGATCTCATTCTTAGGTTAAGATATAAAAAGTACACACGTGTTATTTAAAAAGATTAGAAAAAAATGTACAAATACATATTTTTCTTTAGAGTATGCTTGACACATCGAATTGGCTCGAGTTTATATATTTTTATTTTTATATGATTAGTAGTCAAATTACATATATGTCTTTATTGTTTTTATTATTAATTTGGGTAAAATGTTAATTTATCTATTTTAAAATATCAATACAATATATAAAGGGAGAACTAGTAGGTCAACTCCAATGATTACTACCAGAGAACTCTCAGAATTCTCTCAACTATCAACAAGATACGGGGTAGCATGACTTTATGTGACCTGGACATAACTTTCGTAAGTTGATTCTGATTCGAGCAAAAACTGAGATCATTTTATTGCCAAATGTGTATGCTTTTCCTGTCCGTTGCAGAATTAATCTGTCAATAGCTATATAGATGGATGTTCCCCTGAGCCTGAAGATTTCACGCACACGGAACAATAAGAAACTTTTTCGTCTACGGCAACAGCTTGGAATGCTTCAATGAATTGCTTCGATTTGACTACTTGATCTAAACAGATGAACTATTCTTCATGCACGCACCATCCACCAAAAATCACCAAGGAGCAAGTCTGCAGACAGCAGACATTACCCACAAATACATGCATACACAAATAGGACGCTTCTTATGTCATGAAAGCAATTTGTCTTCATTGCCTTGGTCATTTGACACTAACAAATCTGTCGATGATTCGAAAAGATCTCAACGAAATACACGTCTAAACTAAGTTAAAAGCAAAGACGACTGCAACAAAATGAATTTCCTCTCTCCCTCTCTCTCTGTCTCTCTCTTCAGGGAGATGGCTTTTGCCACCACTTACAGGCACATATAAATCAAACACTGATGTTAAACTTTTCTCAACAACAATGACATAGAATTCAGCCCCAAGCATCTCATGTATGTATATCAAGATTATGCAGCCTGCTCAAATCAAGTATCTCAGTTAGTTATCAGTTCCGCAGTAACCATGAAACGCAGAGTGGATAATACTCTGACTGCATTTGCTATTCTACATAAATGTTGCCTAATCTCTAGTGATGTGTGACTTTGTTCTTGATCATCAGAACTCGCCGAACCACTTAAATTGGCATTCTCTTGCTCGGATTTGATCATTTGATCCGCTACCATGTCATCTTTGGCTTCAACATGTTCACCAACCCAAATGAATCCATTACAGCCGAGTATCAAGTCAACTCCATACAGGTCTAGGTGGTGGAAATGTTGTTTGCGCCTCTTTACCAGATAAGAGGGGATTCTGAGCAACTGACCTCTATGAAGCTGTTGAAAAAACCAAAAGGAAACAAAAATAACAAAGAAACAAAATGAGTAAGTTGAAAGTAATAAAAGTAAGTATAATAGGTGTAATGGTTTAGATCGAGAGGCTGAGGAAGGAGATTCGAGGTGTGGGTAATACCAATTGGACATGGAGATAGCAAAAACATTGATTAACCCCAAGCGCTCCTCGAGACCCGAAACAATTCCTCTTTGAACACCTTAGCATTTTTTCAATGATCAGCACCAAGAATACATAAATTTCAAACCCAAGGATCACAGATGCACCTTTCCAGACTTCTGACTTCTTGCTTGTAGGTGTAGACTTCCATCATGTTGGAAACCACGGATTACAGCCTGCAACAGCACAATCTTTGCTAAATAATCTATGTTAGGTGCTCGAAGTATCAAGTTCTTGAGATCAAAGGCTCCTCAAAATTTAATGATTACCGGTAATCATTAAATTATAAGTGGTTAATTTCCATATGTCAAAAGATTCAAATGTAAAAAAAAAAAAAAAAAAATTGTGATGAAATTAAAGAAAAACAACAGGACATTCAAGTTGATTGCTTATTTATATATTTATATTTATTTTTGTAGGGGGGAAGAGGGTGGGAGCTGGTGGGGCGGTTTGCAATTCTGGATCTCTATATGATGTATCATGCAGCCTTGCGACAACAAATTCTGATACCAGCAGCACCAGAAAAGGTGTAGAATTGGTGGGCTTACACAAACAACGTCATTCTCTTCAAATATACTGCGTATGTTGAGTTCATCAATAGCAGTTTGTCGCCTCTGGAGAAGATAATAATGAGATGAAGTAAAACTTTTGGATGAGATCGAATAGAACTCACACTGTCCAATTCAAAGACAAATTTATATTCTGTCTTCATGGACGACAGGTGGGTATTCCATGTCCCATCCCCAAGGATGACAATGCGCTCATCCAAACCCCTCCTCATGCACCCCCAAAAAAAAAAATTTTTGAGTCATCTATGTAAGATGTGGAGCTCAAGTAAATAACTATTTTAGCACAGTCTGGAATCGGCACCAGTGTACGGACGTTATAAAATGAGAGATACTCTATCTACTAAATGGATTTAACAAAAAAATGGATAAGCACAGCAATTAACAAAGATCGGGGTCACTGGTTACTAAATAAATAAATAAAGACAGCAATTAACAAAGACCACCAGTGGATTTAACAAAGACTCGGTAGAGGGATTGGGTAATCAGTGGTTCACTGGTTGAACCGATGAATATTAATTTAATATTCATAAATATAAAATAGTAATTTTAATATACATAAAGTTTATAATAAATGCTTTTAGATATTAATTATTATACTTCGTAAGATGTATAATAAATATATAGATATTAATAGAAGATTTAATTTCATTTTATTGTACTTTTAAATAAATAAATAATATAGTCAAGTATAAAACAATAGTTATATCCCTTGTTTTAAAAAATATAGCACTATTTTTTCATTATTTTATTTTTATTTAAAACAAATTAATTTTCTAACTAATCAAGTATTGTCAGTTTAAAAGTTAAAAGGATTAATTATAAAATAAAAAACTAAACAAGTTTATTAAAAATATATTTAGTTATCAAATAAAAACTAAACAAGTGATAAAGTCTATATATATTTAAATGAAAATCCAATAAATAAATCTTATCAAGAGCATATGTGACAACCCCACCTCCCCCTAAGACGTACCAAAGGGTTCGGCGGACCGCCTGCCCAACTCTCGCCAGGACTCACTCACTATCTCAATCGAGTCATGTACACACATCCATGAACCATAAATAACATTCACAATTCAAACTTATAATTTACATTGTTAGGAATCGAGGTACAAAGTCTCAATACACCAAACTAGTTCAAAACGTATACAATTTAAGTACAACATGTTCCATTCGAGGAATAGCGCGAGTACAAGACCAAAAAGTCGAAAATCAAAAACAAAAGACTACACTAGTCTTTTACAAGTCTCTCGCGTCACTCGTACCCCTGTAAGGAAAACAAACTAACGGGGTGAGCCAAAGTTCAGTGAAATTTCCAAATATCAAATTGGTCAACAACCAAGTTATAGCAAAATAATAGTGAAATAGCGAGCAAACAAGTCAAATCAGGGAAATAGTACTTCAGCTAGTCAAGTAATATTAGATTCACATTCACATATAAGGATACAGTACTCATATTACGGCTCCATTCCAGCTTGGTCAAGTGGTAGTTGACACTCCGTCAACTTTCAAGTAATATCAAGTCCAAATAAACTCCACTACACGCCAATCCCCGTCTACCGATCAACCCCCTATTCCGGGCCCGCACGCCATACAAAACATGAGTGGTAATACTCGAGTATACCGTTTAGTCGAGAAGATAACACTCCACTCGACATTACAAGTGACCCAGGGTTTGTTATCTAATCGACCAGACCCTTACCGGCTCGACTCGATTAACTAGCCACAGGGTTTCTGGAATTCCAGGCAAAACATATTTCAAGTACATGTACAACAAGTCAAGTACGATCAATAGCAAGAACAAGTCAAATTAGGGCAAGTGCGGTAAAGTACACCCTTGCCCTATCATTCATTTCTCATGTAATCATGTAAGTCAAGTAAGAAACACATGTACCAAGTGCAAAGACTCGATAGAGGGATTGGATAATCAGTGGGTTACTGGTTGAACTGATGAATATTAATTTAATATATATAAATATAAAATAGTAATTTTAATATACATAAAGTATATAATAAATGCTTTTAGATACTAATTATTATACTTCGAAAGATGTATAATAAATATATAGTTATTAATAGAAGATTTAATTTCATTTTATTGTACTTTTAAATAAATAAATAATATAGTCAAGTACAAAACAATAGTTATATCCCTTGTTTTAAAAAATATAGCACTATTTTTTCATTATTTTATTTTTTATTTAAAACAAAGTAATTTTCTAACTAATCAAATATTGTCAGTTTAAAAGTTAAAAGGATTAATTATAAAATAAAAACTAAACAAGTTTATTAAAAATATATTTAGTTATCAAATAAAAAAACTAAACAAGTGATAAAGTCTATATATATTTAAATGAAAATCCAATAAATAAATCTTATCAAGAGCATATATACAATTGTTTCAAAAACAAAGACCCACATTTTTTTTCAAAAAAAGGTAAATCGGATTAATTGAAAAATCGAATGGGTTTCCAATTGAACTATCGGGTCAACCGGATTTAATCGGGTCAATTATTTGTCCGATCAAACTAGAGACCTAGCCCGATCTAATGTCTGAGTCATCGGATCAATCAGTTCAACCGTCGGACCGAGTTTAATAACTATTATGAAGGTAAGGTTCCATCTAGTTTTCCTTTTTTCCCAGTCAAGGTCGAGCTTAAGCCGTTTGCCGATACAGCCACACCAAGTGCCTACCTTCTTCTTTTTACCATCTCAGCATTCATGCGCTAAGTACACGTCTTAGCATTCATGGATCTTTGTACACATTTTTGCATTCATGCGCTAAGGATCGTCAATGACCAGGAGAGAATTCATTCCTCTCCTTAGTCAAGGGTGCACTAGACATGCAAGAAAAGGACCTAGTCCAACCTGTATAGTTACCTTTTGATTAATAAAAGTTTTTATCGTTAAAAAAAAAAACCTTTTTTTTCTTGCCAGGGTAATTTTTCTTTTTTTTAAAAAAAATAATAATTAGAGTACCATATATGCCCTCGCTGGCCAGCCTCGAGCCAACAACGAATTATCCCATCCTGTTTGGACTATGGGTTGGGTGACCCGCGGAGTGCAAGCTAAGCAAATTACAAAGGGCTGCTGTGGCGCGGGCCAATAGATCCATGGGAGGGTGAGATCAAGGTTTGACCTTTGGAGGTTAATTAGGCTCTAACAATACAGCCGACCTTTGTGAACACATCTCTATTGCTGCCCGAGTAATTAATTAAAGAAAATCAATTGGCATTAATTGATTTTCCCCCCTTTTTTGGGGGTAAACCAAGCTGACTACCATTTGGACTTATATATCTACGAAAGGCTGCTTTTATTTTCGTTTCTAAATGCATCGATCTACAGTCCAAGGGATAAAGTAATTAACTTCACCTGCGTGCTCAAGTGCATGGCATGAATTATACGCTCTGCCCTTTCCGTTGAGGAAATTCACGGACCATTATGAACAGTTCAACTTCAAATGGGAGTATTTTATCTTTTTAGGTTTGGTGATGGAACCGTATATAGTAAAGAGCAACTTTGGTGGTGATTATTATTGGTTCTAACTCTCAACGAAAAGCCCCTGCTTTAACGATCTTTGTCGGCACTTCTAAAACATCTTAAATAATAAAGGATTGATCTTCTACACACGGTTAGTATATACACTTTTACCGTCAGAACATAATACATCATTTGAATTTAAATTTGAAATTTAAATTTTTCATATCTGTCATACATTCAACATTGATAATGTATATACTATCAATGCATATAAGATAAATTCAATAATAAATACTATTATATTATAATAGAATATAGTAAAACAAGAGGGGTCAAAAGAAATTGCCCCATCCTAAAACCGTTTGGGAACTGATATTAAGAATACATTACTGAGTTATCAATTATACATAGAATTTCCTAAACTTTTATAATTTAAGATTGTGTGTATATGTATGTCTATATATATATATATATATATATATACTAATTATATAATACTAATTAGTGTGTACATATATCTTTATACTATATAAGAATGAGTTTAGGACAAAAATTTCAATCGCAAGGGTGGGGTTATTTTGAAAATATGAGAGTATTTAAAATGCAATTGAAGTATTGAATATGAATCATTATAGCTAATTTGATTTTTTTATAATTATTTAAATGTTCTGTCAGACATTTAAAGCTATGAGTAAGTTTAACATGTGGCAATATTCGATATCCGATTAAACATTAGGTACAATTGAATTCAGCTTGTATTTTAGTGGAATTACATAAAAATCCTTTTAATCATTTAATTGGATTAACATCCAAGTCTCTTAATTTCTTAAAGTCTTTCTCATCAGTTATTTGCAAACTTATGATATATAGATGTTAAGACACAATTAATACTGATTAGTAGAGAAGTTTGGTTTCTTGGCCGTTACCATAGTAACCCCCATCTATTCAAATTCATTTCATTTACTTATAACTTTGTTCCACTACAATCATATAGTTTATTGAATTCAGATGTTGCTATATTAGTTACTCCTCTTTCCCATTTTGCAACATCTTTTTTAATAGGTATGTTTTCTTTAACTAATCTATTTTTTTGGTTGTAAAAAATTTGTAATCTTGCAAGTTGTATGTGCAATACTTTTTTTAGTGTTTTAATTCAATTGCCCATGTTAGATAGGTTTGATACGGAGGAGATCACATTTGTTAATTGTTATTTGTGGTTTAGAATAAGTTTATCATCATAAAATTTTTCATTTATAGATTGCATCTACTTCTTTTGTTGTTTTAACTATTAGTTACAATAATTTTCAAATTGTTTGCT